GCCTGGGCCGGGAGCGAGTGGAGAACAACCTGAGCGAGTAGGAACCTCCCAGCTTTACAGTAAGGAGCCCTGGTGGCACCATGGTCAAAGCAGTCGACTGCCAGCTGAAAGGTGGGCGGTTCAAAACCACCAGCAGCTCTGAGGGAGAAAGATATGGCAGTGTGCCTCTGTAGAGATTTACAGCCTTGGAAACCCCGTGGGGTTGCTAAGAGTTGGAATGGACTCCACGGCAGTGGGTTTGCTTTGGGTTTTTGGTTTGCTCACAGGGCGCTGAGTCCCTCTTGTGGCTCACTTGCTTTGTTACCCTTAACGAGTGGTGCCAGAGGCGGTTGGGGTCAGATCGTGCAGGCTGAGCTGAGATGTTCAGATCTTATCGAGAGAGACGGGAAGTCGGTAGAGGGCTCTGAGCAGAGGAGAGCCGTGACTGGGCTCCTGCTGCATGAAGGATGGACAGAGCAGGGTGGCTGCAGGGGCCCGAGACCAGTGAGGAGGCGACCGCCGTAATCCACATGGAAGGGCCAGGGTGGAAGGTGGAGGTGGCCCATTGCTGAGACCTGCCACTGTCCCGTGATTGTTCCCGGTGGAGAAGGGAAGTCTGGGAGCTTTTCAGGTTGTAAGCTTGGGTCAACTGTAGGCCACCTGTCTCTAGTGTGAAAGAAAGAAAATTCCCGGTCACTCGGCCCCAGCAGAGGGCACTGTGGGACAGAGTCAGTGGGCTGTTAGGGCAGTGATGGTGCCTGTTAGCGCATTGATTAAAACCCACAGCCCCAGGACCACCCAGATAGGCGGGGCAAAGCATCATCGTTTTTCCTGATCTGTCGGAAGACCACCTTGCTTGTGGTAAGAGAGGTTTGTTTACTGATGACCAGGGCCAGAGCTGGGAACTCCCAACCTTGAGCTCAGGTCATTCCTTCCACGCCTGCCTCTTGCCGGGTCCTATGTGGTGAGGATGAGCTGTATCCTTACAGGTGCTGCCCGTGTCTGTCTGCTGACTTAGGGTGAGCATGCTTTTCCAGTTAGCACTGATCCTCCTTGAGCCTTTAAACCATAGCCCCAGGCGTGTTTTTGGTGCCCCTAACAAGCCCCCCAGGTGGAGGATTTGTCCTTGGGGCGCTCCAGGTGCTCTGCCGTGCCCAGGGTCTGGAGCACCGCGAGCTGTTGTGCTGGACCTGCTGCGCCTAGCCCAGGGCATGGCATAACCTGGTGGCCAGTGCTCATTGTGGGTAAAAGCGCGAGCTTGTGTTGGCAAGGATGTGAAGCAACAGGGGCTCTCAGACAGGACTTGGAAAACTGGCAGTTCAGTAAAACTGGAGATTAGCGTGCTTGGTGACTCAGCAGTTTCTCTCCTGGGTATGGAACTTGTTGCCATCGAGTCAGTTCTGACTCATTGCAAGCCCACAGGACAGAGTAGAACTGCCCCGTAGGGTTTCCAGGGAGCGCCTGGTGGATTCCAACTGCCGACCTTTTGGTGAGCAGCTGAGCTCTTAACCATTCTGCCAGCAGGGCTCCCCTAGGTATAAGCCTGCCCACCCCCCCAAAAAAAAGTGTGTTCGTCTGACCAAGAAGTGCTTCTGTGAACTTTCATAATGGCACCGTTCACAGTAATCAAGCACTGGAAGCAGTCCCGGAGCGCAGCAGCGGGAGAGTAGGCTAAATCCACAGGGGCAAGAAGGTCAGCCTGTGGCCGCAACACGGTGGAATCTCATACGTGTAGCACTGAGAGAAAGAAGCCAGATATGAAAGAATACAGACTGCAGGAAGCTCAAAAACAGGCAGAAATAAATTATGGTGTTGGAAGTCAGACGGGGTTAGCTTTGGGAAGGAGAGAAGGGCCATGAAGAAGCTTCTGGGGGCTGGAAACGGATTTCTTAATCTGGAGGATGATCACCCAAGTGTTCATTTTGTGATAACTCCTTTAGCTGTACATACATGTTTTGTGTATTTTTCTGTTTGTGGGTTATACTTGCAGTAAAAAAAAGAAAAAAATCAAAGGAAAAGAACCACAAGCTTTGGAGAAGTCAGACCTGAGTTGAAATCCTAGTTCAGCCACTTGGAAGCTATGTGCCTGGATAAGGTGCCTAACCTGTTTGAAATTTGGTTTCCTCATCTGTAAAGCAGAGATAATAAAGGACCTGCATGTGTAACTAGATAATTACTACACTACCTGGAATACCGTATGGCCTTCATAAATGTGACATATTATTAAAGTGTATCAGTTAGGAGTGACTTCAACAGCCAAGTACCAAAGTAATAGAAATGTAGCCACAAAGTGACTTCAGCTCTTGACTAACCAAAGCCGAAACAAAATGGGGTTATTTGAATCATCTAATAAGACAACTAGAGGTAGAAGTAGAGGGATCAACCTCCCTGTGATTTTCTTGTCTTCCCTCATGATCACAAGATAGCTACGACAGCTCCAGACATCGCATCCTCATACCCAAGTCCCGAGCAAGAGGAATGGGGAGGTAGAAAAGGGCTTAACCTTTTGTTAGACAAGAAAATCTGCTTCTAAAGGCCTCCCCCAGCAAAATTCCCCTCATATTTCCACGTGGCCACTCCAGTTATAGAAAAAACTTGAAAAGCAGCATCCTGGGAAGGGGAATGAGATGGTCATGGTTGGCTTTGACGGGAGGTTCTCAATCCTGGCTGCGTGTCAGAATCACTTGAGAGAGGTTAAAAATGTGTATATACAGGTATATGTATATATGCATATATTCATATCTACATACATGCCTGCCTGGGCCCCTCACCAGATCAGCTGAATTAGAATCCATAAAACCCATTGCTGTCGAGTCAATTCCGACTCATAGCCACCCTACAGGACAGGGCAGAACTGCCCCCATAGGGTTTCCAAGGCTGTAAATCTTTATGGATGCAGACTGCCATATCTTTCTCCTGCGGAGCGGTTGGTGGATTCGAACCGCCGACCTTTTGGCTAGCAGCCGAGCACCTGATCGCTGTGCCACCAGGGCTCCTGAATTAGAATCATTGGTGTGATTTTTATCTTGAAACCAGCTGCCATAGTTCCAGACCCAGGAAGGTGCCAGAGTCGAGGGCAGGCAGGTGTTCTGCTGAAGAGCTTGTGATAACGTGTGTACGCTAGGCTACGCTGTGC